AAAATTCAAAGACCTTATCGCAAACATTTTCCACATCTGCTGGACTAAAACATGTTATTTTCTATCTGCTTTTAACAGATTTTTTTACTTTAGCAAACTTTATATATTATTACTATAGCATCTCCTAGGAGAATAACCTGTGGTTGCTCAGAAACGTATCAATAGATCTTCACTGCAAGAACCGTGTTAAGAACAACGGGCATTTACCTGTCTGCTTCACAGCCTGGTTCGGGACTCAACAGTCTGAAACTCCATTCTTCAGCACTACAGAAAAGCAGGACACAGGCAAGGAAGCCATGATTTGCAAACAGGTTTGCAAAACCAAAGCAAGCTCCTGCATCCTCAAGAGCTGCTTTGGGCACTTTGAAATCCCAGAAACTAAGCCTGTAAGAGACAGGGGCCTGGACAGGCACATGTCACTCCAGAAGATCACAGCATGACTGAATTTGCACAAAAGGCCGTTCCCACACAACCTGCAGACCGTCATAGAGAGACAATGAGAGATATCTTGAAATATGGTCTTCTCTATTGTACAAGCTGTGCACAAGAGTGTCTGAAAGCTGCACCGGCTGTTAAATTCGCTACAGCCTATAAACAGCGTGAGGCCCCAAGTTCTCCAGCTACCTGGATTCCTGCCTACTCTCAGCACTGTGCTGAAACACAATCACCACTGCTCAAAGTCTTCACACTGACCTCAGCTGAAAAACTAATGTCAGGGCTACACTGTGCACTTCGTATTTGCACAGGCAATCCTGCTCCAGGCTTACTCAAACAAGCCAGGATTATCTTCCAAATCCAGAGCATCTCAAATGCCCTTTTTAGGGGGCAAAGTCCTTCTCTGAATGCAATTCAGATTTCACACGTCAGTCCCATTTCTTGTGTTCAAGGGCCAAATTCTGCCACTCATGCTGACTGAAACTCCCCATCAGCTCTGATGGGCTAAGAGGGGCTAGCTGCACACCCTTGTTTCATTTAAGATGGAGGAGACAGGTGGTATCTCATCTGAGGTATGCAGTACCTTCTGCAATTTAAGGACTGCATCAAACTTAAGTTAGCTCTCCCTGGAAGCCTGAAACCACCCAATAACTGAACCATCTTCCACAGTTCCTGCACACAGCTGGAGTTACTATCACCCAAATTCTAGCCCCAAAAAGCACCAAAAGATTTTATTTTGAAGATTTATGTTCCTATCCCAGATCAAGAAAGGTAACTGCAGTTTCACATTTATAAAAGGCTTTGCATTGTCAAAGCACAGCATCAACAAGAGTGAGGCCTCAGTACACCCTTGTGAGGTAGGTATCCTGCTCCCCATTCTCATAAATGGGGAAACTGAGGCACAGAGTGATTAAATCCAAGGCCATGCAGCAAATCAGTGACCCAGCTGAGATTAGTGCCCAGCAGGTTCTGGCTGCTAACCTATGCTCCAGCCACCTGACAAAGCAAGTAGCCCCAAAGCCTCACAGTCCAACCAGGGTCCCACCAACTTTACAATGGCTTATTCACACTACTAGCAAGCATCCTCAGAGGCAGGACAGAGGGCAGTGGGTGGGGTGGCCAGAACGTTGTCAGCGAAGCTTTCTCCAGTGAGGTATCATTAGCCAGGATGCAGACGTTTCTTCTACATCAGTGACGTTCCCAAGATAGGTAAGTGCTGTGGTTAGAAGCAGAACTACTTCTTGCAGTCAAGACATCAGAGGTGCTCCCCGCAAGCAACAGATCTCTGTGATATTCTGATCCTATCAGGTCTCTCTGTGTTGATCAGAACGTAAGACAAAGTGGTGCTGCTCCCACACCACTTCATAATCAAAGCTGATCATCAGTGAATGCTGCCAAAACATTAACACATGCACAACAGAGCTGCCTATCCGCCCTCCAGCTTAAGACTCCAAAACTTCTGGCAGACTGGGGAGCCACTTGCTGGGTAAGCAAAGGGTTTCAGCCAGTCCAAGCCCACAAATACTGAATACCGTCCTCTCCAAGCTACTTCTGCTCTCCTTTCTCATGCAGGACAAGCGGCCAGTCAAGTCTTACCAAGCCTGACCAAGGTTTATTCATCTAGACTGAGTATGTGCCAGTTCATCCTCTCTGGGATGCTTGAGAGAGCGAGATCTGATATCTCCTTCAGAGAGGCAAGGAATTTGATTAGGCTACACTTCGCTGAATAAGCTAATAAGCCTAGCCAGCTATGTTATCAGTCACATATATGATGCTCAAACAGGACTCGCAGAGTTTACTGCAGCCATCAGCCTTCCACCCGAACCCAACCAACCACCCTCCTACTCAAAACAACCCACCTTCAGAAGCTGCCTTTGGAATCGCTTTGGAATATTCAGTGTGCCAAAGCAACTGTTCTGCCCACTGCATGTGGAGATCAACTCATTCATAGTCTGCATCAAAAAGCAGGTGAAGTAACAAAGAATAATTTCTTTTCCAAAAAAAGAGTTCAACCTCATCAACATAGCTGTCATCGCATGTACCAGGCCTGTGGAGTCTCCCATAGCTAGCGACTTGATGCAAACTGACAAACGTTTGTTCAGCCACTGAATAAACACTTACCGAGTAAACACTGACATTTAACAACTTGATTTGGAACAGAGCATCCTTTTGTTGCATTAAGGTGCATCTTTAATTGGAGGTAACAATCTAGTAGCCCAATGTTATAAACTTATATAATAGTGTCCTACAGAAATCCTGGATTTGTCATTCCAGCTTCAGTCATAAATCCACCTTTCCTGCAGCATCTTCTCTGCTCTGTTTCATTGCTCCTCATTTAATATCTTCATATGTTTGTTTGTGAGGAAGTCAAGAAAGGGAACGTTACAGATGGCTTTGTGAATATTCATCACTGTGATCTCTTTCGGAGTCCTGCAGGGAATGAATCAAAGATGCTATCGCAATATATAAAAAGACAAGTGTTTATAAAGCAGCAAGGCAATAAATTTACTAACAGGAAGGAAGAAGTCAAAAAAAGGCAAAAAAGAACAACAGAGCAGGTGTTACATCAACACAGAAAAAGCATTAAAATGTCACAGCACAAAAGAGCCATTGTCAAATGACTGAAGGATATATCTCGGGCACTGGCACAGGAAAACAAAGTGCTGAGGTATTAATTCTTGAATTTCTATAGCACAGACGTTACATGCGTGTAAATATGTATACATATATACGTATGTATATATATGTGCATGTGTGTATTATATAAAAAATAAAAATTTAAACTATTTTCTCAAAGTCTTATTTTTTTCAATTTCAAGTTATCCCAGAGCATGCTAGTGAATGGAAATCAAACGTGGGCTAAAGGTTACCGTAAAAATAGACTTTTTCCTGGCTCAAACATTGAACTATCAGTAAAACACAGACGAGATTATTTAGAAATCCCTTGCTCACATGTTCCGAGCTGCACAAAATCTGACAAAATTTCTCAAGCAGTTCAGTCCTTAGCGCTGGCATGCGAGCGGCCCAAGAGGAAACAAGCCACTGTACCTGTTGTGAGGAGTTGTCTGGTATGCTACAGCCAGTGCTTGCCGCAGGATATCACTCATGAGCTGTTCAGTGGCCTGTGATAAAAGGCAACGTTGGGCAACAGCATTATGGAAGAAGAAAAGCTACATGCTATTGGCTTGAGTATAACTGAACACTGGAACTTCGGATTATCAAATCAGCAGGGGCAGTTCAATGCCCAAATGAATTTTATTAGCACAGTGATAAGAACTGAGCAGGTCTAACAGACGGACACCTATGGCTGAGCAGAACTCATGACTCCAATCGCCAAGCCTGGTTTCTTCCTGGACCTGCAGAGCAGTATGTGCAGAGCACGGTGGATCTGATGTTAACAGAGTTTGTGCTTCCGAGAGCATTTTAGGGCCCCACCTTTTACAAACAAAACCTTGTTTTTGCATAGAGGATCCAGATAGTCTTCTGGGAATCAGTCCATGCTTGTTAACCACAATCTGTGGCTACCAGGTTTGTGTGTTGCCAAGATACTTAAACAGGAGGCTGGCTTCCCAGCCTGGACAGCAGGTGGACAGCAGCTACGTGCCCTACACACTTGGCTTAATCAAGGTTGAATCCAAAGTTAATTAGGGCTCTTGGCTCTCTATGCCTATATCAAAAGTAGAGCAGAGTTTCTGGGATGTTCAGTCAGGAAGGCTGGCATAACTATGATCACACTGGAGCAATCCAGGGGCTATAATGTGCGTCAACAAATGGATTGTATCTGTGTTTGATTTCAAGCATGATAAGATACAGCTCAGCGGAAGTGCGCATGCGTGTATGCGTGTGTGCGCGCGCGCATGCTGAAAACCTGGAATCAATTAGCTTTTATAAAACTGATCTTTCGATTAGAAGCAGTCTGTATAAACAACCTCAAAAATTGTCTTTGGTTTGAAATACAGCAGAGCACTGCTAAAAATAACCTATGCTAGCCTTCGGTCCAAACACCAGAACTTCAGATCCATGCTGTTCAAGGGCTTTGATGAGAAACAGTCTCCATCTTTCCAAAAGCGAGTATGACAGATAAATGGTTTCTTGTACAAGGGAGAACTTCTGCTGACTTCAGGAATTCAGCAGTGCCCCATTAGAGACAACCCCAGCAAAAAAGAAACTGAACAGTATTTAGGAAAAAAACATCTAATCCTCTCACAAAATAATCAAGTCTTCTGGAGGTGTGGCAGGTGATTTTTTTTTTTTTTAAAACAGTTTTGAGGGGTAGGACAAAGTAAGAGGTACTTTCAAAGTTACAGAATAAGTCAGTATCTTACTGGAGGTTACGAGCTGCAAAACACTATTCTACACGTCCAAGTCAACACATCTGTTAGAAAGCTGGAAACGCACACAGAAATACATGAGTCTCCTCATCCAGCCATGTATCCTTCTATACGTGGACAAGAATTGACATTTGACTCTGCATCTCCTGATCTGAGAAATGCTTATTAAATATGGACTTCAAAACCAAAAAAACTGTGTTAATACAGCTACAGGAAAGTTATTATTGTGAAGTAATTCTTACCTTTAAAATCATATCTTCTATTACTGATGCATAAACATTCTTGTGTACCTCAGCAGGCTGAAATGAAATCCCTATCTATAAAATACGAGAGGAAAAAAATAACATTTGACAAATTAGTACATTGGAGTAACACAACCAACGTTTTACTACAGATGAGATGACAATGAGATTATTTTAGAAACAATCTATCACAATGGGTAGAGTTAAAAAAAATAAAAAGCAAGCAAGCACTGCAAAACTTAAGGGCAGTATAAGCTCAGGCTCCGTTTAAAAAAATGTGGCAAAAAGAAGCTAAATCAATTAAAACAGCTTGCAGGTACGTCTCTAAAACACAGAGGAAACAAAAGCAGATTTTTATCATTGTTACAGAAAGTCTACACCAAAACAGGCTGCATCTTTGGACTGAGAACGAAAGTTCCTTACCTGTATTAAGTCCATGTATTTGCACTCTTCCTTGTGCCTTACTATACCAACTGAAACAGTGTTAAATAGTACTCCCAACACAGAAGTTCAGCATCAAAAGAGCGTTTCACTTCCCAGTGTACTCCCATCATGCCCACTCCCTTGCCTCCTACGTGGCAGGAGACAGGATACAACAAAGAACCAAAGTTTCGCCCCTTGAGGTTAGTCTCTGAGGCAGAGAGAGAGAGATACCCTTCTTTCTGCCACAGACGCTGCAAGGAACCCCCCTCCACTTCTGTCTCCTGCCCTATACCAGAAAGCATTCTCTTTTAGTAGCGGAACAAGCCTCCTCTTTCCTTCTGGCTGCTGTGAGAGGAAACCACTCTGTCCTTTTCCTTCATTCAAACTTGAATAGGGAGAAGAAACACAAGCAGCAGAGAAGTTTGCTATGTTCTTAGCTTCACTTCACCCCCTTCCGGGAGCCAGCGTTAACAGCAGTAGTCCAAGCAACAAGCCCAAAAACTTTCTCGTGATGGAAGAGGAAGCATTCAAGTGCAAGTGTTCCTTTTTCCTCATTTCTACTCGCTTCTAGCCTTCTGGACAGGTTTACTGGTGCTAAGCCCTGCAACACAGCTGCTTTGCAACAAGCTTCAGGCTGGCATGCTTCACTCACTCCTACCAGCACTGCCCAGCTAAACGACATGAGCCAGAGTGGCCATGTTTTCAGGCCATTTATAAAAACCATGACAAAGCATCCAGAGGACCATAAGAGATGAACAAAAGGCAACTAAATAAAACTAAAGCCACAGCTGGCTTAGCAGCAGTTCTTAGCAGCTTTGAGATTCACTCATTACCTTCTCCGCCGTATCCCTCACAAACTCTGACGCAGGTAAGGAAGCCAGATAGAATTTCATCTCCTCTTGTTTCTCCTCCTGTTCCTTTTTAATGTTTATTTTTAAAGGCTCACTAAAGTTGAGAATATCTACTTCCTCTTCATGCTCTGGTTCTCGTTTCAGAAACTGTTGCAGTTCCTCCAGTTTTCGGCACAGCTCCTCACCACTGGTGTAAGATGAAGGGCATTCTGAACAAGAAGCAATTAATTAAAACATACGACAGATTATGGGGAAAAGTGCTTATAAATAGATATACACCCAAAATATGTTAAGAAACTAAGATAACTGGAGGTTATTTTTGTAGTTCCTACTACACACAGGGATGAAAATGCAAATAGTCATCGAGCACCTTCTCGCTATGTCTCCATAACGCTCACAGCGCTCTCCCTCATCTGCCCCTACATCAATCAACAAGGTTGCACTTCAAACAATACGAGGCTAATGCAAGCTTCCTGAACAGTCTCACAGAAGCTTTTTGACAGCTGGCAAGGCAGCCTGATGCTCTTCAACCCACTTAGAGAAATGGAGTTTTACTGTATAGGCATCACATAGTACTAAGTCATCTTTTGCATTATGAGAAGTACTATCATGCTTTTTAAGAAGAAAAATCGAAAACAGATTTCCAGTGGAAGTACGCAAGGCTAGCCCTGTTCTCTGCAAGCTCAACTCTGGCCAGTAAAAAAAGACCTTTTGTGGAAAGCCACACGGTAAACAGATTCTTGTCTTCAAGGACAAACTCAAATCTAGTTATTTAGACAAAAAGATGAAAAAGTGGATGTAGGCTTCCTTTCCACCTTCAACAATTGAAATGCAGGACCAGACTTCGCACAGAATAATCAAATCCACACACTTCTTGAAATATTCTAAATCCTTTTATGATCAGGACAGAAAAACACTCAGCCTTGGGAAAGGGATCATCTGAAGGTGAAACAAGGGAAGCTAAATGGAAAGAATAAATGAAATTAAAGGTATGTGTTTAATACAGACTGCAACGTATTGTGGATATCCCACAGCTATCCCTCGTGGAAAAACATGGCCGCTGTAATAACGCAACATGAAGGTTCACGCGGGACAATTTACTTTGCTTTTGGAGGTAAATAATCCCCCACTGAGCTCCATGCTGCCACTGCCAGACAGCTTTTTGTGCTCATTCAGTTTGTTTGCACAGTAGCCTTTTAACTGAGACTAAGCTTACCCACGGGCAGCTCTGGAAGCATCACTATTCCCTACGCTTAGTTTGTGTGCCCGCTTATGAACAGTTACGCTGCAGGGTGAGGATCTCTCACCACGTTAATCTAGACTGGGCCCACGAGGGCCCCAAAGCGCGATGGAGCCCAAAGAGGCACCAGAGAGCGCCAGGATTGGCAGGGGCAAGGGATAGCTTCACTCCTACGTTTGCCTTTAGGATCTCTCCAACTTCTGTTATTCCACGTTAAATTAAAAAACAAAGAAAGCAAGAACCCCTTTCTCCTGAAGGACAAGCACATGTGTGCACACACACACAGTCTTGGGCCATTTAATGAAAAACTTCTCTGGCAAAAAGGAGTTTGCTGTCCCTCCATACTCACCTGGCTCGCTGTCTATCTGCGTCAGCACGTCTTCAATCGAGTCCTCATCGTTCCGCAAGGCCTCGGGGTCAGGTGGAGTGTAGCCATGGCATCGACACCACTGCACCACGTGTTTTGTTTTCAGGGGTGTAACGCTGTGAAACCTAGGGTGCTTCTCTATGATTTCTTGCAGGATCTTTCTCACTGTCATTGCTCGCTGCCACTATGACAAACCAAAGGAAAAGCTCACACTGGCTACAATGTTTAAGTCAAGACTACGGCCCAGAAAAATAAGCCAGGATGCAAGGAAAACAAAAGGAACATAATTTTCCCAGAAATTAGAATGGCAAGGAAAAGTAAGTGTGGGAGACGGCTGTGATCCTGGCATCTTTGGCAGCTCTGCGCAGGGCAGGCATCTGCTGCTTTCTCACCCACCCAAAACCTCAAGAGCGAGCCCTGTCTCAAGGACACCCCTTTACAGGGGCCCAGACGCATTTCTGTCTCGACTTCAACTGTCTCATCTTCAAAGTAACACTTAGAAATAGCACAGTGCAAGAAACCCAGCAGAGCAAAAGATGCTTCTTTATATTTCGGTGAAACTGTTTGTTCATTTAAGTTGGAGACAGCAGTGAGTCTAATCAGTTTATTATTTTCTCTACACATCTACAGCAAGATGACAAAACTATTAAGAAATAATGGGAAAACATAACAATCACAATACTAAGAGATCCTGATTAGTTGAGATATTTATCCTTGATGAACTGACAACCTGTTTCAGTACTAGCACTTCTTACGTCAGATTTCTCAATCCTCTTTCTACAGAAAGTAGATATAATCCCATGAAAAGATATAAGAAGGACAAAGTATGCTGGGGAAAATTCCCATGACCATGGCATACCATACACAAGTGATGAGGATGAAGTGGTAAAGGACAGTTTGCAAAAATTCTATTTTAAAAAAATTTTTCTAATTAAAATTAAAAAATTAGAATTTATTTTTTTTCCATTTTTTGTTTAAATGTTTCAAAATCATCTTTGAATCAAAGGAAAACTGACCTTCAGAGTCCCTTCTACTTGAGAAAGCCTCTGAACAATAAATTGGAGCACTACCTGAACAGCAATCAGTGCATCTTGCAGTGAGGAATGCTTCCATTTAAAATTTGACAGTGCTTCAGAAAATAAAACTGTCAACAACAATGAAGGTTCTGTAATTCAAAAATCCTTCTTGCATCCCTAATGACTGCTTACAAAACACAGAAGGAGAGGATTACCTCGGCTGCCCTCCTCTTCCCAATATTCCAGCTGTAATACTGTTCCACTGAACTGGCGCAAAAAGAGCTGGCATCTTCACCTAGAAAGGACAAAGCCAAAAAAAACAGCATTAAATTTTAACAACTGAAATCAGATCAATTCTGGATGTGCTGTATTTAACGGAGAGGAAAGGGGAAACGAGTTCTCTGTGTTTCACGCTCACAGGACCAAGGACTGTAACTTTTTCAAATGCTGATACAACTCTTAACAAATACACGGATGCGTGTAGCGGACACTTTGGGGTTTGGATGCACAAACAGCATCCCTCTTGGTCAGCACACTGGGACACCTATGGCCAAGGACCGTTTTAAGCCTCTCCTTCCCCCAAAAACTCTAATGAGGTAGACCTGTAAGGCTGTGTTACTGCTCAAAGTCTCTTCCTTCTCAAAACTCTTTTTGGTCAACAAATTACAACATAAAAAGGAAACAGTGAAGAGGTTTTCTGGCAAAACATACGGAGGGGTCATGAATTCCAGGCCAAAGATTCTTGAATGCTATTATAGGCCCCAAAGCAATATAGAATAAAAGCTTTACTGTGCTACTCATTCCTACTTTGCCCACTGCCCTTATCTTGAGAAGCTCTACCCTAGCCAGTCTCCAGGAACTCCTTTTCAAAGTGCATCAGCTACCAGAGAAAACTGATGCATTTTCAGCTATGTAAATGAGAAAGAGGTATGCAATTATAAAGTGTCATAAAAGATGAAATCAGTTCTTTGTAAACTACCACCTTTGGTTAAAAACAACAACAACAAAAATGTCAATGCTGAGATATATTACCATATTTGCAAGTATTTCTGAAACTCTAGCATAAGAGACATGCTTCATAATAGACTTTAAATAAAAAAAAAAAAAAAAGAGGACAAAACCAGGAACCAGGTAAAAGAGCACCCACTTGCAGTCAGTATGTGAGCAAACATGACCTACTTCGAATAGAAAAACAGATTAAAGTTAATAGCTGCTGAAAATACACTTGGCTTTACTGGACGGACTTAATTCTAAAAATCTTTAGAATAACCCCGAAGTAAGTTCTCTAGGACAGGGGCTTTATTTCATTCAATTTTTTGTAATTTTTGCAGCTATAGAGTACACAAAACATTCTGTTGATACACTGAAAATCGCAAACCAAGCGTTTTCATTCACTGCTTACTTTTTTCAGCAACCAATGGAACCTTCTTCACTACTGCTGTTAAAAGCTGCTGGATGTTCTCCAAATATTCTATGCTGCAAAGAATAAAAAGAATCACAATGAAGAATACTGCTGGAATTGATGAACCAGATGCACAAGGTTTCAATATCACTGCACTATTTGAAAGCACAGATTCTAGTTCCTGGCCCCAAAGCAGTAGAGAAACACTAGTGCGAGGATAAACTCCTGTAATGTCTCAATTCTGAGAAAGTATTTCAAAGTGTCCTTCTTGCCTTGGCGTCCCTATCTGAAGCTACATTTATCAAGCTGAAGAAACTGGCTTTAGCAGGCAGGCTTGGAAGAAATCCTTGTATCATCTCACAATCTGCAACATTATTTTACTGCAAGTTGTCCCAGTAGGAACTTGCCATACTGAATGAGCAGCTTTGTACTTTCTTTTGCTACTTATTAACCGTCCATCTCTTATGATGTTCTGTTTACAGGGAAAGACTATGCTAACTGGCTCATTTGATGGCACTCAGCACATCTGCTATAACATTAAAACATGTGCTAACAGTTTAGGTACAAATTTTATTTAATCAGTCATAACGAACAGAACTGTATTTTCCATCAGTTATTTTATGACTAAGATAATTCCAAGTGCGTACTGATTTAAGATTTATTCCTGTCTCCTACAGATACCTTCCACATCAGGCTAATGTCTACAGGGATATGTCAGGACAATAACACTTTTCTAAACGTGGAGACAGGAAAGCAAGCCACTGGGGAAATCAAGAGCAGAAGAGCCATCTCACAGACTACAAGAACCATCCAGAGAAAAGCCTCCAGAAACTACTTGCAAGAGCATCGCAAATAAGGCGCTGGACTTCACAGCATCCAAACACACACACACACACACAGATGGTATTTATTGTCTAATTCCAATTCTGAGCCAAGACAGGCCTCATATTTAGTACCTGCAGAAATGTAAGAGCTTGACAAGACCAGAGGGGCAGTTCTCCTACTTACTGTAGATGGTTCTTATTTAACCGGTATTTCATCGGACACAGTCTGACCCCAGTAAGAGCACTCAATGGCAACAGGAATTATGCAAGCAGTGATAATCACAGACAATAAAGAAGCTTTAGAAATCTGAGTTTTTAGCAATCCCCAAAACAACTGCAAATCATAAAATAACTTTTTTCACTGTCAGCAGCCTTGAATACAAATCCATTTACAAAAGAAAATATTGCAGCACCGTCTGAAATGAATGCCAGCCAAGAGGATTAGCAATGATAAAACAGCATATGTAACAGAAGATTTAATAATGTATTTTTGGGTCAAACTGTTAATACCATTGCATGCGTTCCTAGCATCTCCTCCATTCCCCCTAGTATTCCCCAGATAAGAACTCTTTATAGAGAAACAAACAATTACTTGATAACATAATTCCCAAGTTCTGAGCTCTCTTCTGTTTTTACTGCTGCTTGGCCTTCTTG